AGACTTGCACACTTCAATGCCAGGGTTCCTGAGCCAATATTTTGGTAGCTAAGCAAGAGCGTTATTAAGTGAGTTCCACCACATTTTACAAGTTGGCCACTCCCACCCGGTCACATGGCTGGCAAGCCACTCCCACAAAGCAGGCCACACCTACAGAAGAGGTTCTAAAAAATATTGAAACCCACCACTGACTCAGCAGCAGAGTGAAACTGCGGGAATGATACCAGATACTTACAGTCATGAAGGTTTGAGCCCAAAGGCGAGATTTCAAATAGAGAATTGCAGTTTTTCCCCTCTCTAGGCGACCAACTTGGCAAAATATTTTTAAACAATCTGCGTTTCCACAACCCTGGCATTTAAAAAGGAGGAGGATAAAAAAAGAACAGTTGGTTTTATTCAGTTACTCAGCTACTTGTTAGATTTAATTTACATATTATCATTTTCTAACCCAAGAGTTGGTGATACAACCACGCAAAGTTCCATGCAGAAAAGGGGCAGAATTTCAACTGCATGGGTGTGGTTGCTATCATGACGTTTTTGACCCATGGACGCTCTGGTAATACTCATAAAAGACTATTGTACAGCTTGAAATAAGCAACTGTAAAGAAGTCCATAATACATTCTTTAGTATTTAGTATTCTCTAGTGTTCCCAGGAATGTCTGGAAAAATGATTTTTAGATAAAAACAAAATTATTCAGTTGGCAAATCAGTTGCAGCAGCTTGCACATCATACACCAAAGCAGCACGAAGTGCAGTGAGGGGGCAGCATTAAATCACCCCTACTAAGGATCATTGAGACCCAAGTTTTTTGACTCTGCAGTGACTGGAAACTTCTCCATGTGTAGGCTATACTTCAACTTGCCCCTGCTGGAGAATATACCATAAGGAGAAACGATGAGCTGGACACAACAGAAAAAGGAGTTCCTTCAAGCCACTTTTTTTCCACTAGAAGTCACACATAAAGAAAGCAATATGCAGTTCCTGAACTTCTCTAATTCAATCTTGATTCAAGAATTAACAATTTAGAGACTGGTTTTCCATTGGATAAATGATATTATAATATCAAATAAATATATCTATATCTATATCTACATCTATATATTTAGTGTCACAACCCCTGGTATACCCCAATTATGGGAGGAAGCTAACTGCTTCCATTATCTGTCAATCGGCTCGTCACAAGAGNTTTTTTTTTTTAATGTAAAAAAACCACTGAAAATTTAAAACGGGTATCAGAAAACGATTGCATGAATCAATCAATTTCATGGTGCTACATAAAACTGGATATGGGAATTGGTAAATGGGATCTATGATCTTCCATACAACCGAAGTACATCTTTTGAGGTGAAAGATTCCATAAAGCAGAGAGCAATTCCTTAAATGGGAACCACATCACGGTGACAGCGAGGTCCTCTTCTATACAGGAGTTATCTCTAAATAGTCAATTGAAGTAGATCTGTCAGTATTTCAATCAATGCTTCAACGCTGTTCATATCTCCAACTTAGAAAAGATGATACATTCTTCAGAAACTGGGGAGTACCTTGGGAAAGTCCAGTTAAGAAGTTCAACAGCAAGTCTTCAGTTTATGTTCATGTTCTCTGGAGAGATGTAGTTGTTACAAGTCTGCAAGTAGTGGAGGAGCTCAAGTTGTACCAATAAAAAAATAAAATAAAAACAAATCAATCCCCCACCCCCTCCTCACTTTGTCTTTTGAACATAGTAAGCAAAATTGTGGCACTAAAATACATTAGTCAGTGCACCTGTATTAGTCACAAATGTGGGCGTGATTAATATGAGGGAAACAAACACGTGTCACTTTCAGTTCCCAGTTAATTTTGCCAATAGCAAAAAAAGGCATTTGCTATGCAGTCTTCCAGGATCAAAACGCATATTTCTAAAGGAAGTTGTCAATCATTCTAAATCTTTTGGTAAAAGACGCAGTTAAAATACTGCTTAAGCTTCTGTGGTCCCTTCTCCATTTTCATGAGGTTGCAATTGCTCTCTTTCTTGTTCTTCCTGAGGTGGCCGTACACGTTTGAAGAAACCCACCTAAAATGTAAACAGAAGACATTTTATAGTAGGAAGTGGGATAATGACAGGTGCAAGCAACCAGAATAACTCCATGAATAGACCAAAGCAGTTTCTTTATTGTTGATAAAGAACCTTTGTTGTTGAGACATATAAAACCTATTTATAAGAATCTCACCAGGCTGTCTGCATTCTCTAAAGAAGCTATAGATAGCAATAGCACTATAGCACTTAGACTTATATACCGCTTCAAAGTGCTTTGCAGCCCTAAGCAGTTTACAGAGTCAGCCTATTGCCCCCANTATCTATCTATCTATCTATCTATCTATCTATCTATCATCTATCTAGATGAAATTGGTTTGAACAACTTAAAATTCAAAATGTATTGCTTGAAAGGCTGAAGAACAGAGTGAAGACAAAGGTTTGCTTTCTGATTCGGTTTTTCTACTGTTTAGACCCTATTGCATACTACCTGCATATATTCCATGTATTACTTTCAAGTATATCCTGGTGTATTTGGCTGTTATTTGGCCCAGATTCTAATTTATATTTCTACCAGCTAAAGTTTACTAGATTCTTAAGTCATTGGATTTAATTTAATTATTCAGAGACACTCTGTTCTACTCTATTCATACCTGAGACATAGCTAAACTAAAGAGAAAAGTCTGCTGAAGATGTGAACTGTTTTGAACAAATCACATTTTATTCATCTTTCATCAATATTGACATTTTGAATTATTCATTGAAAAGCAGCCAGACAATTTCATTTCCAGTTAGAGTCTTAAAAGATTGAAATAGTTTAAACGTTCTATAAAGATGATAGATAGAGATGGAGACACAGACAAGACCAGTCAGAGAGACAGGCAGCCAGACAGGTGAGCAAGGAGGCAGATAAAATCCCCTATGGCTCTTGACAAAGAAAATAAGTTGTTCAATCAGCAAAGTCGAGGGCTCAGAGAAAAAGAGAGACAACTAAAGAAGAAACAACTGTACTATCAACTTGCTCAACAAGTAGCCCTTGTACTCTGACTAACTAGTGCAATAAATTGATTCCAGCATTTGCTTCACAGAATACTCGTAAACATCTGGTCCTTCTCCTAAAATATTGACAAGGGACTGTTTACAAAGCAGTTAGCACAAAGACTTTACCAAAGTTTGTACATCTTCCTCTGGAACACCTAGATCTCTCCGGTGGATTTGATGATTGCGGGTATCTTCCCCACTAAGCGTTTCGTTCCTTTCATCTTGCTGAGAAGTTGATACCTATATAATCAAGATTGATTACTAGCACATTTCCTGAACAAACTCCCAATGCTGTTAATCCACATTTATTCGTGGATGTAACTATGTGTGATTCACTAGAACATGCTGTGTGCCTTGTTCTTCTACCCACGTACAACGTCAAAGACTCAATGTCAATGAGGAAGCCAGAAGAAACACTGGGATGAATAAAATCAATGCATACGGTGGTGCAGTGATTAGAGTGCAGTACTGCAGGCTACTTCTGCTGACTGCCTGCAATTTGGCAGTTCAAATCTCACCAGGCTCAAGATTGACTCAGCCTTCCATCCTTCCAAGGTGGGTAAAATGAAGACCCAGATTGTTGAGGGCAATACTGCTGACTCTGTAAACTGCATAGGGCTGTAAAGCACTGTAAAGCGGTATATAAGTCTAATTGGTATGGCTAAATGATAAAGAAGATAAAGAAAGTTGGGGAACACCTATAAAGTGGCATAATATTTCATGCATTAACCCTACAACATGGAAACTAACTGATTGCAGATTTCCTTATGGAAACAAAGGGCTGCCACAATCTTTTAAATCATGGATTGGAGCTGCTTCTTCTAGCCATTTTTATACGTCACACCAATTAGACTTATATACCCCTTTACAGGGCTTTACAGCCCTATGCAGTTTACAGAGTGAGCAGTATTGCCCTCAACAATCTGGGTCTTCATTTTCCCCACCTTGGAAGGATGGAAGGCTGAGTCAATCTTGAGCCTGGTGAGATTTGAACTGCCAAATTGCAGGCAGTCAGCAGAAGTAGCCTGCAGTACTGCACTCTAACCACTGCACCACCGTGGCTCATGCTCATGAAACCTCAGAACTATAAAAATCCATCCACTCACCCAACCAATTGGTCAGCTGCCGCGGAACTGAATTACTGAATGTCACTTCGCTTCTGAAATAAACCTTCCAAGCAGATCATTTTGACCTTTTAATTTTAAAT